CTTAACGACTAAGCCACCCAGGCGCCCCCCTTACCAACACTTCTGACAAGGCTCTAGCACAGTGGGTAAATCTACTGCCTCAGGAGAAGCCCAGGCTTGAGTTTACAGCCCACTTACACTTACTATCTGTGGATTTTGAGCCTGTTTCCAAATGTACAAAACCAAGTTGTTAAGACTACTATTAAGCAGGGGCACCTGTGTGGCTCAGTCGGTTAAATGTTTGACTCTTCTTCTCAGGTCTTGATCTCAGGGTTGTGAGTTCAAGCCCCACATTGGGCTCTACACTAGGCGTGGAGCCTACTTAAAAAAAAAAAAAAGACTAATATTAAGCATTAAGCAGCTGACATTTAGGACACATGCTTTCTACATGCCAGGTACCAGGACACATCCCTTCTGTGCACTCTCTCATTTCATCCTCACAATAGTCCTAGGAGGTCAGTTGAGCACATTCCCAATTTACAAATGAGAAAACTAAGGCTTGATGAGGCCAGCATTTGCTTAAGTCACTTAACCAGGTTCACAGGGGAACTGTGAACCGGAGCTCACACCCAGATATTCATGTCAAAACACACCAGGATGTAACATGATCAATGGTAGAAGCTTTAAATTATTCATTTTAAATTATTATTAATTATAAATAAATATAAATTATAAACAAATTAAGATCACGTCTGTCGTACCAGGCATGCCATAGTACTATACCAGCTCACATTAACCTAAGGCCCACTAAAACCTCCTGGTCTTTTTCTAAGCAGATTACTATTAAATCTTCCCTATTCTTATGAACATACCTGAAACAAGTTGACATGTTAAAATTCAAATTGAAAAAATTGTATTTTTAGTAATTAAATTTTACCTGATTTCGACTTGATATGAGTCGCTGATAAAATGTGGAGTGAAAAAAGGAGTCAAAGGCAAGTTCAGATGACAATTTACTTAACAAATAAAGATCAGATCTACCTGCACTTAAAACAGGAACAATAAAGTAGAACAAAGAGTACAGTATTTAATGAATGGCTATAAGCAAGAATTCCTAGAAGTAGAAAGGCCCTCTACATGAGGGCAAGCCTTCAATTTGGTCTGAAAGTCCAACACCAGTAACGACCACTAGGTGCCAGAAAGTATCATAGACTTTGTCAAGACTGAGCACACTACACAGTTTCTCCACAATTACCTCAGGAAAAGGTACAGCAAAGGAGATGGCAAATGACGTGGGGAACAAAGGCCCAAAAGAAATATAGAAAAAAATTAAACTTCCTTACAACTTATGGCCCACTGACAAGTGCTTGGGACAGGCAGAGTGACCTTCCTCCAGGAACTCAACTGCCTCAATGTCAACACTTTGCTAGAGGCAAAAGGCAACCTTAGCTTGACATCAGCCCCTCCTCCAGTATCCTGTATGTCTTCCTTAGTATAAAAAAAAATCCCTTTGAAAATTTCCTTTATCTTTACCCCCCACCCCAAGATATATGTTAGCAATCATCCTCCAAACATATGGCCCACTGATATCCACCTGAAGGATCTCATGACTAAGGTTTTACTAGACTATAGTAAATGACCCTCAAGGTCCTGGAAACCTAGCTTCCAAATTCCTTAGACACTTCCACTATCCCTAAGCCCCTCCCAACTTGAACGGATATAATCAGTCCCTCCTCACAACCCCAGTGTAGCTCTTTCTGCCCACAGGTCCTGTCCCCCTGCTTTAATAAAACCACCTTTTTTGCACATCTCAAGAATTCTTTCTTGACCATTCGCTCCCAGACCCCAACATCTCACATCGGCAAAGGTAGCAGGCAGATTCGATTTCAGACATTTACAACAAAATATGTACCTTAGTAGATTCCAAGGGGAAGGGGAGGAGCTCTTCAAATTTCCTAAACCGACAGTTATATATACATTTATTTTTAGTAATTATCAATGGCCACCAATGTGAGGGGTGAATCAGCTACTATTGTAAGCTCACTATGAGGTTATGGCAAAAACAAGTCTCAAACCAAACTCCACCACACATACATTTATGAACAGAAATAAAAAGGATCTTAAGTGGGGCACCTGGGTGGCTCAGTTGGCTAAGCATCTGCCTTCGGCTCCGGTTGTGATCCCAGAGTCTTGGGATCCAGCCCCACACTGGGCTCCCTGCTCGGCGGGGAGTCTGCTTCTCCCTCTGCCCCTCACCCCACTCTTGTGTTCTCTCTCTCAAATAATAAAATATTAAAAAAAAAAAAAGGCATTAAAAAGGATCTTAAAATTTGCTGGATAAGCTCAGGGAAGGCTCAACTTCCTTCACTCTATAATGCTCCAAAAGACTGCATGAAAGTTTCACCTGAGGCAAATACATCAATATTCTGATTTGGCTAGCCATACTGTCAGACTCAAGCTATGGAGAACCCCCAGACAAGCAGCTAAACACAGGACGTCATTTAGGGATCAAGCATAGGTTCTATCTTAAAGGTAAAGAATGGAAGGCCAGTTAGACTATTACATTCTGCTACTTCAGCGGCTAAGAATTGATATTAATAGCCAGAACACATATCTTGCATACCACTATTTTCATCAATGACAGCCCATTCCTAACACCTATTATACGAACGAAGAAGGCTACCAGAGTTAACAAGGAGAAAGACAGCTGAACCCTTTGTAGTATTCTGTACCACCCCCACTCTGGAATATGACCTCTAGTACAAGTACTAGCTAACCACCTCCTAGAGTGTTTCTAGTTAGGACAGCTCACTACCTCTAGATTGGAACTCAACGTATGTGTCCAGAAATGCACAGACATACATGCACCCCAAGGCATACTGTCTATGCTGAAGTTTTCATATTAAACCATGGATTTCGGGGCACGTGTGTGGCTGAGTCGGTCAAGCATCCAACTCTTGGTTTTGGCTCAGGTCACGATCTCATGGGTCATGGGATAGAGCCCCATGTCCAGCTCTGTGTTCAGCGGGAAGTCAGCTTGAGATTCTCTCCCTCTACCCCTCCCCCTATTCACTCTAATAAATAAATCTTTAAAAAATTAAAAAACATAGATTTCATAACAGGGAATTAATCACAGCTAATTCATTTGGACCAGTGCTGTCCAATAAAGTAACCACTAGCCACATAAGGTTACTGAGATCTTCAAATGTGGCTACTCAAATCAAGATGCCAGAAGTGTAAATTATACACTAGATTTAGAAGGTCTGAATGTAAAGTATCTCACTGATACTTTTTATATTGATTATCTATCGAAATAATACTTTAGAGAGTTAAAACATACTATTAAAATTTTTTTTAATGTGGCTATTAGAAAATTTAAAATGATATGCCCTGCAATTGTGTCCCCATTATATTGCTATTGAACTACGATGGCATAGACCTTTTCTCCAAGCCTCCAGAATTTTTTTTTTTTTAAGATTTTATTTACTTGTCAGAGAGAGAGAGCACAAGCAGGGGGAGAGGGAGAGGGAGAAGCAGGCTTCCCACCGAGCAGGGAGCCCGATGCGGGGCTCGATCCCAGGACCCTGGGATCATGACTGAGTCGAAGGCCAACACTTAATAATTGAACCACCCAGGTGCCCCAAGCCTCCAGATTCTTTTGAGTAGTTTTATATACTTCAAGAGATGATTTAGAAGATACCTTCGCTACTTCATTCTCAAATAATCATTCACCAGTTCTACCTTCATGATATTCAACTTGAACCATCTCCTAACCAAAACTCCCTCCTGCCCTCTTTGAGGCCTTCACTGTCACAAATTATGTTTTATCTCCACAATCACCACTTCAAAAATCTATTATTTCAATAGATAATCAATATAAAAAGTATCAGTGAGATACTTTACATTCAAACCTTCTAAATCTAGTGTAGATTTTCAAACCCCGTTCTCATATTACAAACCTCAACCATTATCCTATATCAGGATTTTCACTGGAATTCCCTTGTCCCTTGGGGCGCCTGGGTGGCTCAGCCGTTAAGCGTCTGCCTTTCGCTCAGGTCATGATCCCAGGGTCCTGGGATCGAGCCCCACATTGGGCTCCCTGCTTGGCGGGGAGTCTGCTTCTCCCTCTCCC